CTATTCTGGCTGGGCGTTGGCTGGACTGGTCCTTTTCAGCGTACCGAACATAACCTTTTCATTACGTTTTATTGCGGTGGTGTGTAAGCTCTGGCCGTGCTCTCTGGAGGCGGCTGCTGAGGTCGAGCTTTACTCGACCGTAGCCAACTGTAGCCGACCGTAGCCGCCCGAAGTCAGCCGTACCCGGCCGTAGTCGACCGTAGTCGCTGACGGCTGCCTTGCTCTGCGTAGGGGTTCGTCGCGCTGTCGCCGACCGCGGCCGGGGTCCGTGTTCCAGTCACGAGCCGCCGGCGGCGCTCATGAAACATGCATCGCCACGATAGGCCCCGGCAGCGCCCGGTCGAGAGATCGGGCTCGATCGCCGACTGATAGCGCGGCGAGTCGGTGCGTTAGTGCCGAATAAGCAGCCGTTTGTCTTTGGCGGTGACTGCTCGTAGATAGCTGGCGATCGCTGCCTGCCAGGGAATCACACCGATCTGAGACAGCCCGGCCGGCTGCTGACACACCGAGGCACCGAGCTGCTAACAGTTGACGGCGGGGGCGGTCAGTGACCTACCGGTTGCTGCTGCTGGCGAATGACTTTCCAATGTGGACAGAAAGTCCGACTGTCCACCGTGGAAGAGATTCCCGACTATCCACCGTGGACAATCGATCCACAATCGTCCACCGCCGTCCGCCCGATGAATGCCGATAGCTCTAAGCGCTGACCGAGGAGCCCTGTTCTCCTCCTATGATGGATGCTGGTCCGTCCGCACCCTGACGTTCACAGCCGCATGGGGCGGCCGGGCTGTCTGCTCTCACCCTCTCCAGACCCGTCCGATCGGCGCAGGAGGTCGGGATCGTGATTGGGTGTGGGCGACCTCCGTCAGCGGGCTGCAGCTGCACTGCGGCCGCCGCAGACTGACTACACAGAGCTCTGCTGTATGGCTCAGCTGCTGAATAGGCATCGGATGAGCGTTAGTTTTGGGTTGGAGATATTTGTTCGATGGGCACTCAGGCATCCATGGCGGTTCGATACTGAATCTTTGTCACCGGAAAAGACGGGTTTGCTGGCAATTTCGTTCGGCTTTTTTGCAAGGTGACGTAGCTTCTAAGAACGACTTACATTCCTGTTCGTGTAGCGCGAAATTAAAACCGTATAATGTGAAAATGGACGAAAGCGGAGGGTGGTGTCAGAGCAGTATGGCTTTGTCAATTTGGGAATGAGGACTGAGGGTGCTTAATAGGGTGTCCCAAATTTCACGAAGTTTTCCAATTCACTTAGGATACACCGGGATCCCGTTCCTTGGTTCATTTGAACCTCACACACCAATTTATAGAGTAAACTACCGGTAAACAAGGTTGCCGCTTGTGCTCTGAAGTTTTATTTGCATTTTGGTGTTATATGATAGTGCAGCGTTGTAGTCTCCGAATGCAAAATGGGAAATATGTGTAAGCAACGTAGCAATATTACCTTCTTCGATGCTCAGTGATGCTCAGATCCCACGCACATTGCACAATGATGAAAATCCGGGTTTATGTACGCATACATACGTGTGAAACTGTGTGTGTGCGTGCCCATATGCCTCTGTGCGTGTGTGTATGTGTGTGTGCTTGTGCGCGAGCGTGACTGCGTGCGTGCCTACCGGATAGAAGGCAATGCCAGTTTTAATCTTGGTGTGGGTGATTTCATGTGCCGCTGATTTCGTTTAGGACTAAGCGATCAAATAAAGGTCTCAGGTTAGTGCTTCAAATGTCTCGCTTCAGATCGAACAGTCTGCGGCAATGGCACACCACATAAACGCAGATTGAACAGAATCAAATTTACATTGCAGCTATGGGTATTAAGTTCACCGTACACTGTCCTGAGACCGTCCACGCGGACAACAACATCGTGTCCGGCTATGAGATCCGTCTAAAATATCGTACCCTGCTCTGAGATTCGTCTAAAACATCGTATCCTATTCTTAGATCCGTACATCGTACACTGCTCTGAGGTCCATTTACACTCTACGGTCTACACGTAACGTCATCGCACCCTGTTTAATATCTGTCTATCACTACAGACCCATGTAACGTCCTTCTTCGTGTGACCGTAAAGCGACCTGTGCTTTGCCACCACCTGGGCCAGCGCCTGCAGCTGGTCCTCATCTTTCGTTCTGTCCATCATCTCCTGTGCCAGCTTCACTCCGCGATCCGCTCCATCATTCACAACTGCCAGGCTGTTGACGTACCTATTTGTGAACTGCGTTGTAACCTGAGATAATTTTCCACTTTTGACAGGCTCTTGCAACCATTCGAGGGCGCACTCATATGATTCTCATAGCCGGGAGCCCGGTGCAACCATTCGAGAGCGCACTCATCCAGATTCTGGATTAGTGCGCCCTCGAATGGTTGCAAGAGCCTGTCAAAAAATGCAAAAGTATCTCAGGTTACAACGGAGTTCACAAATACGTCAACAGCCTGGCAGTTGTGAATGATGGAGCGGATCGCGGAGTGAAGCTGGCACAGGAGTTGATTGACAGAACGGAAGATGAGGACCAGCTGCAGACGCTGACCCAGGTGGTGGCATGGCACAGGTCGCTTTACGGTCACACGAAGAAGGACCACGTGGGTCTGTAGTGGTAGACAGATATTATAGCAAGGTGCGATGACGTTATTTGTAGACTTTAGAGTGTAGATGGGCCTTAGAACAGTGTAGGATGTTTTAGACGGACCTCAGAGCAGTGTAAGATGTTTAAGACGGATCTAAGAATAGGATACGATGTTTTAGACGAATCTCAGAGCAGGGTACGATATTTTAGACGGATCTCATAGCCGGGCACGATGTTGTTGTACGCGTGGACGGTCTCAGGACAGTGTACGGTGAACTTAATACCCATAGCTGCAATGTAAATTTGATTCTGTTCAATCTGCGTTTATGTGGTGTGCCATGGCCGCAGACTGTTCGATCTGAAGCGAGACATTTGAAGCACTAACCTGAGACCTTTATTTGATCGCTTAGTCCTAAACGAAATCAGCGGCACATGAAATCACCCGCACCAAGATTAAAACTGGCATTGCCTTCTATCCGGTAGGCACGCACGCAGTCACGCTCGCGCACACGCACACACACATACACACACGCACAGAGGCATACGGGCACGCACACACACCGTTTCACACGTATGTATGCGTACATAAGCCCGGATTTTCATCATTGTGCAATGTGCGTGGGATCTGAGCATCACTGAGCATCGAAGAAGGTAATATTGCTACGTTGCTTACACATATTTCCCATTTTGCATTCGGAGACTACAACGCTGCACTATCATATACCGTAAGGTGGGGCTATTTGAGACAGTGGGGCTATTTGAGACAGTATTTAAAATTGCTATAAAATAAAAACCACTTAAAATTTATGCTTGATTTTTTGCTCAGGCGATTTACTGATCGATTCCACACCTCCCTGAGCAAAAATATCACACAAAAATCAAACGATCTTCATTTTATAGCGATTTTAAATACTGTCTCAAATAGCCCCATGTCTCAAATAGCCCCACTTTACGGTAACACCAAAATGCAAATAAAACTTCAGAGCACTAGCGGCAACCTTGTTTACCGGTAGTTTACTCTATAAATTGGTGTGTGAGGTTCAAATGAACCAAGGAACGGGATTCCGGTGTATCCTAAGTGAATTGGAAAACTTCGTGAAATTTGGGACACCCTAGTGCTTAAGGACCTCTATTTATAGAGAGGGTGAGTCGTAAGGGATGTGGTGTAAATGAGAGAGTAGATATCCGAGGGAATTTTGTATAAGGAAGTAGACCGGGTCTGTAGGAAGTGGCGTCGCGTCGCCGGTGGTCCGGCCATCACCACTGCCACAGACCGGCTCCGTACCGACCACGACGGGTGGCCTTTGTAAGAGTGTGGTGTGACGTGCAGCCGGTGACCAGTTTGTGCAAATGAACTGGAAACGTAATGTTTATCAAGGATACCAGTCGCTGCAGTGTGCAGACTTCTCAGACACAGACAAGATATGGATCGCCGGGAAAACTTTACAAAACAAAACAAAAGAACACAAAGATGCTTCTACATCATCCGTCGTAAAGCCATCTGTCTCTGCATCTCGGCGCCTGTTTTGCATAACTTCCACTAAGTCTCTGAGCGTCTTTCTATGTTGATATTGACTTATGTGACTTCCTCGTCTTGAGTCGTGGGAACCTTGGCGTCCCGTCGGAGGAAGCCGGAACGCCGGGGTGGTCCCTGTTTTCGCTGGGGTATCAAGACAAGGCGTCCTGTCTACCCCAGGTGTCACTCTCTTCATTTCCCTTCGAGCGTTGCTGAGGCCTGGAATGTTTCAGCGCGACAGAGGGCTGTCCGGAGGCATGACTGAAGGATTAGGGCCTCTTCACGTCTCCTCTTCCCTAGACAAGCACATCACAGATTATTTCGAGTGGAATGCGACCACTGCGTCACATCGCTGTTGTGTTGTATGGAGAGACATGACGTTGTATTTCGTTCATGATTCATATACAGACCCTTTGTCCGCCTCAGCGGCGTTGCGGAGTCGACGCGCCACACAATACGACGTGGCGTATGTTGTGACACGTCACGGTCCGTGATGTGACATGTCACGGTCGGTGATGCGAGAAGCGGAGATGTGTAGCGTGTCACGGCTGGAAGCACCCACAGGGGTGGAAACAGAAACGAGACGGCTTGTTGCTTGTTTGGGACTTCTTGTTGTGACACTATGCTTTTCTGCTGTCTACAGTCGCTGTGTCTCAGCATTTGGATCGTGCGTGTTATGTTTGTGTGTTCTAGTTTTGTGTCTTGTCCGATGATAACAGCTCCAACATCTTCTGTTCTGTCTCATTGTGTTGGTGAAGCAAGCCTGACATAACCCCGCGGCCCGCACCGCATAGGCTTGCGATGATCCTACCGCCATATTTCCCACTAGCTTACATCAGACAAACCTCAACAATCGCACCATACAGCCCGATCTCCAAGCCGGCACTGACCGTTCTTCCTTTCTGTTTCAGTGTGTCCTCCGTCACAGTTCAAGCACACGGTGGGAAACAGCTCCTGTCGCGCTTGTCCCGACCACAGCAGCGCGTCGTACGCCGCCTCCGTGCAATGTCACTGCGAGGCTGGCTACCACAGGGCGGCAAAGGACCCACGAGACGCACCCTGTACACGTAAGTAGCACCGGCAGGGACTTCGGGGTCTGGAAGTGTAGAGGGATATGGGAGGACAATAGTGGCTGTGGTTGGATGCATGCGGTAGACGGTTGTGTTACAAGGGTGTGCCAATAAATTTCAGTTATTCCAGTAAAACGTGGAAGTCAGGAAGGTCTCGAACGTGTTAAGATTGGTGCGATATGTTTTACTGGCGTGTTTGAAGGTCGATGATTTCACCATGGACGTGCGGTGTGATGTGTTGGCTGCGATTCTGCTGGATCCGCTCTGCCCGAGCATGTGGGATGCGGGCCAGCTCGTTGCGGGAAAATGGCATGAAAACTGGCCGGATCAGTCAGCATGGCTTACAGCCTCGACGGATTTGTGGTCATATGGATCGTGAGTTATACAAGTCACGATTAAATTCGTTCGGAGAAAAGACCAAATCTGCGACGGGAATAAGTGTCGCTCGACATCAAACAGCAGCTTTGAAGTTACAAGGTCAGCGGCCATTAATGTCATATCAGGAAAGATATGATCCTTATGTGAGCACCAAATACGCCTCGACGTCCCAAGATATGCGATTTGTCCGAAACCGTGAGTCACAAATAATGTATCGATGTATCTCAAGTTCGGCAAACTACGACTGAAAGTTGCCAACTTTGGAGATGTTTGGGAGGATCGCCTTTTGCGATTTCACTTGGTGTACCCAAGTCGTGACAGACAGAGCTAGTTACGACTGCTGATAAAATGACGCCCTCTTCGTCTAGCACCACAGTAAATCTAAACAATCAGAATGCAAAAACCGACTCTCGTATGATAAACAGGGGTCGCAGAAGCATCTATACCGATGCCTATCTGCCGACGTGGCATCCCATTAGGCCTGATGTATTGCTGTGGACCGCCCTACTGGTTCTTCTGTCTGACAGAGATTGGCATTCAATGCACCGGGGTCGCGGGTACACCGATATCGTCCATCTAGTTAGGGCGATTCTGATGCGTTCTGTCGTGCCGTCTATCTATGACTCTGGCTACCGAAAGGCGTCCGGCCTCCAGGACCGACCGGTAACCAGTGCAGAGGTGACAGCCTCGTCCCGTTTTGCTCCAGGCTGATGCGACATCCTTCTGAGATTCATAATTTCCACGGACTTAGGTGACAGCCTCGTCCCTTTTTGCTCCAGGATGATACGACATCCTTCTGAGATTCATAATTTCCATGGACTTGTGATTTGAGAATCACGATATGTTCTTGGGCAAAGGGAATTTAGACCTCATGGCCGTTCACCAAGACGTTCCACTTCTCACGAGATGTGTCATTGCGCGCGCAATTGAGTAGCCAAGAACCTCCTCATCACCCTATACTGATCCTGCAGTCTTTGCGCACCATACGACCGCTCGTTCGACCGACCGCCTGAACGCACGTCGGACCTCTATGTCGCTAGATCGGTGATCATTTTACCATCCGCCCGCCCGACCGCGCCTCACGCACGCGTCCCGTATCCCACGAGCGTCCAAACGGGCCATCACGGCGGCTTTGCGCGGCGGCCGGCCGACCTTTCTGGGGCGGCCGCCGGTCAGCGCGGGTCATTCCAAATGCATGGCGTGGTGTGGTCATGGCTGCTCGGCCATCAGCTATCTCGGACCGCTACGATCGGCCACTGTGGCCTGAAAACGGTCCAGTTTTGGGGTAAAATAGGCTATTTTCGACAAATATTGCAATATGATATGATGTAATGTAATATATTTCATTACGATATTATACCTAATATAGAATTATGCAAACAAATGTTATGATTCATAAAAAAGATCTAAGTTAATATGATATATAAAGATATAATGTACGGTGAAATAGCCTTGTCGATATGTGAGAAAGCAAGCCAGGTCGTGGGAAAGAGGACGCGGAAAGGAAAGAGTGGGCGGAGTGTGGAGCCCAGCGCAGACGTCACTGCATACTAAGCGCGCCGTCTGAGTCCTCCAATTTCCGGTGATGCTAATTAATGTGGAAATATGAGCACGTGAGTGGGTCATTGACGGTGGAAGGGATGGGGAGGGGGAGGGCTGGGGCGCGTGTCCCCCCCCCCCGTCCCATTGCAGCTAGGACGTGACACGACTGTGGAGTGTGGAAGTAGGGGGAGGGATGACAAACCGCCACTGATTGGCATGACTCACTGGCGAACCGAGCTAGCATCTGTTTCGCTTTGTGTAGCAGGTTTTTCAGCGTCTCAGTCTTTCCCTGATCATCTGACCTGTTTTGGCCTAATCTAATCTGCCCTGCTCTGCCCTGCCCTGCCCTGCCCTGCCCTGCCCTGCCCTGCCCTGCCCTGACCTGACCTGACCTGACCTGACCTGACCTGACCTGACCTGACCTGCTCGTCGTTTCAGAGCCGCCGTCGGAGCCGCAGCGGCCGGTGGTGGAGTTTGTCGACCAGGGTACGGCTGTACTGGTCTGGCAGCGTCCCATGTACGAGGGAGGACGAACAGACACCACCTACTACATTCGCTGCGCCCAGTGCGGCGGCTCGGTGCACTACACTCCGGCTCAGGTGGGCGATGAAAGAGAACACCGAGAGGTCACCGGTGGGGTGCGTGGGTACACTGCCGGGTCACCGGTGGGGTAACGGGGTAATCTGTGGGGTCACCGGTGAGGTAATAGGGTAAACTGACGGGTCACCGGCGCTGGTTAGTAGGTTGGGTACGCTGACTGATCATCGTTGGGGTGAGTGATACACCTTTTGACTTCCCGTCCCCGGCGTATGCGTTTATGTCGCCCTTTTGGTCGCTGTCCCCGGTGACCCACAATCAGTAGGCAAGATCACGTTCCCTCCCATCCCCCTATGGTTGACCGTCGGTTAAGCACGTGCTGCCTCACACATGACATACCGGGTGGGATGATCCATATTCCATTGTCTGCTGCTGAGAGGGGTGACAGCTATGAGATCTCATGACCAATGACCATGATCTGTGAATGTGGACGTCATTTCATGCTCGTGTCGTTATCTCATAAGGACAGCTTTTTGACGGAAATGTGTGTCATTTTATCCCATATGTATTGCAATGTCTTAGGTTTCCTGTTGGTTGGTCGTGGACGAATGGAGCTTTACGTCAATGTTTTTTTTTATTAATAGAAAAAGTGCACACTAAATATATGCATGAGTTTTCGATAAGTTGGTTCAAATCGGGCTCCACAAATGATTCTCATTCTCCTCAACCGATAGCTGTTCGTTTGGGAAAGAGTGGCGCGCTCTCCCAATCATAACCCTCTCCCTCGACTCCACCTGTCCCTCTCCCCATCTCCACCCCTTCCCTTGGCTCCCTCCCTCCCTCCATCTTCAGCTCCCGTCGATTGTGTCAAGTGCCCCTCTTGGCCGGAAAAATTGTGGCTTAACGATGCGTCGAGCCAGAGCGCGGTCCGATGGAGGTCAAAGGGTCTACCCGAGCGAATGGAGAACCGGCGGGCCGAAAGGGCAGGCAGTGCCCCATGGTGGGGTGGGGAGGGCCAGTGGTGGGTCGGATGGCTGGGCTAGGCATGGAGATTCGTGAAGGGTTGGGACGTGTGTGGACTGAGAGGACGAGGGTGTTATGTAATACGTTGGTAGTGCTGGAAAGGTGAACACCGATCAGTAAATATCTGGGTGTCTCTAGAAATGGGCACCAGTATCTGCTTATCAGGATGTTGGCATCTTGCATTGAAGATCAATTTGTTCCTGGTCATGCTTCTTCTTTGCTATGCTGATTTGAATTAAGAGTGAATGTAAAAGCTCCATTGAACAGCTTTTTTCCGCGCCATGAGATGGCAGCTCTGACATTCCGGTTCACTGACCGATCAGGAAATTCTGGTTTGTCGGAAAATTTACTTTTACGTCAGAGTCAAAGTAAATGGCCCATTTAGAGTGCAAACAGACCACGAACCTGAAACCCTTTCCGTGTCTCTTTCTCTACAGCCAATTTATGGCGGTTGGCCGCCGTTATCACCGGTTGAATCTGCGCCCGTTCTGCGAAACCGCTCCCCTCCTGGTATACCGTCTCTGATGGCCCGATCTCCTGGGGTGCCTCTGAGACCCATGGCTCTGACCTGTGACTTAGTCCTCCGCGCGGCGTGCACACCTCAGTGACACGTGTGGTAGATTTTGATGGACACTGAGTGAGCTCATTCTTCCTTATGACTGGTGATTAGATGAATAGACCTTTTCTTATTCCGTCACTATTTATCATTTGGAGCTGCAGCAGCAGCGGAAGCTGGGCAGTCGCCATGACTTATCGTTCAGCTCCTCGGTGGATGACTGACAGAACAATGCGTGCTGACTGGTCACGAGCTCAACAGGAACTGACTTACCCCGTCCTCACATCATCCGTGAAACACAGATCATGCACAATGGTCATTGATTTTGCCTGTGTGACATATTACTGAATTGAACCGACTGGAACGGTTGTTGCAACTGCTCGAATGCCGACTCAAGCTAGCACGACACGGCTGAAGTTGACAAGATGTTGGAAATGTTTAATTAAGCAATATAATATAGATGATCCCTGGCGTCTTACCCTGAACTTTTCTGGTCTGACGTGTCCTTTCCCGGTCTGACCTGCCTCTGTCTTACGTTAACCTCTGTCTTACCGTGACCTTCGCTTCTCTTTCAGGCCGGTCTTAATACCACTAAGGTGACAGTGATGGGCCTCAGCCCGGTCACTGCCTACGAGTTCCAAATCTACAGCAGCAACGGCGTCTCGTCGCTGGCAGGAGACGACAAATATGTCCAGATCAAGGTCACCACTGAGGCTTCAGGTCAGTAGTGAGGTCACATCAGGCCACCACGTGTCAGTGGTGGCCTTTTCAGGTCAGCTGGTGGGGTCACAAAAGGTCACCAGGGATACACAAACGTCTGAGATCAGTTTTGAAACCACAGCCGACCAACAGGAATCCATAGAGGTTGAACGTATAAGGTCACGAATAAGGTCGCATGGGTGACTGATCCCGTCGATAAATTTAAGAAATCATGTCGTTTGTCAACGTCGTCGGCATTTCCAATATCGCTGAAACTGTCATGAGAAGGTTTCAGCGCTGGATTCGAGAATGTCACGACGGCACATGCAGGAATGACAAATATTCAATGATGGGGCGCGGGTAACACGACTTGAGAGATGGCGCTCCCTAAAGTCTCTACTCAGTCATTGTCTTCTGTTATTGATTGCTCGATTCACCATATAACTTCGTTTCTCTCTCAGTGCTGGAAAGCCCCGCTGCTCCTGGCATTTCCCGGTAACCGTCTTCATATCGTGGACAGACTCTTATCGTGCTGTCAGGTCGCCGCTCCCAGCCCAATGTCAGACCGTCAACCTGTCAGACAGTCACAATGTCAGCTGTCACGCTGTCAGTTGGGATGTGTGCTGACCTGACATATTGTCTGCCGGTCAACGTGTGCGCTCTTGCCGACCGAAGTTTTTATTACGCATGACGTCTATTGCTCCATGGGCACTGTGTCGGTTATACCAGTGGCTTGTAGAGACAAATTTCAATAAATCTGGATCCTTTAAAAGTATTTTCATCCCAAATAGTTGATATTTTTCAGAACCAACGCTTACGGTATCAATTCTGGTTTGACCGAAAGCATACGGCTTTCGGTCTTTTTGGGGGGATGGGGAGCATACGGCACAAAATGTTCTGAACATTGTCCCTGTGGCTGCGATCCTATGTCCTCTATGACCCATGGTACCCTAACTTATGTGACCCCTTCTGACCGTGACCCTATGCCCCGCAGTGCCGTCGATGGTCTCGGAGCTCGAGCTGAGTGCCGTGCGCTCCTCTGAGGTTGTCCTCGTGTGGGACCCGCCTGCCGACCCACAAGAGGAAGTCCTCAACTATGAGGCCCGATACTTCGTCAAGGTATGATGCCCAGAGACGTCCTAACTTTTCAGTAAAACTGCTAGTCTGACGCGAAATATCGAGTTAAGGATCTAACGGGGAAGTGTGTAAGGTGTTAAATAATGCACTGTAAAAATTAATGCTGGCATTGTGTATTATGAAACGACGACTCAAATTATTTTTACGATGTCTCGGGCGGAAATTCATGGAGCCGCGGTAACAGTGTTTTGTTGTTAGCCATCGCCGGGACGTTGTGAAGGCCTGCAGTCGCCCTGTCCCGCGCGTGGCTCCCCATCGCTGTGCCCGCTGCTGCATAAGTAATGACTCGGAGGACTTGGTGACTCAGACAGACTCAGCTCCGACCAAAGAGCTCCGACCGTCCAGTGAAGGAGACTCGGGGTGGGGGAAGGAGGAGGGTCCCAGGGGCGGCTGGCCACGTCCCCGTGTGGATAACTGCATTACGGACCCGCGACGGAGGGCTAACTGATGCTGATCTGGGGGACGGGAAAGGACAGAGGGGACGGGGTGTCGGTGAGGGTGAGGAAGGGGCAGTTGGAGACCAACTGGCGTCTTTGTGGGACCTGCTGCGGGGTCTGTTTTATGTCATGTGGATATGTGGTTGAGATAGAGTAAGTGGTTACTGAGTGGAACGGATCACGGTGCTGTACTAGCGTTCCGTGGCGTTCTCTGGATGCGAGTATGACGAATCGATACATGGCTGGACAGATCACAATCTGTTTCTGACCTGTTTCCAACCTTTCTGGATCTTTGAGGCTCGACCCGTGTATGATCCGATTGTGACCTCGTGACCCGACTTCCCGCAGGGCCGAGAGTCGAACGCCAGCAGTGTGTTCACGGACGAGCCGCGCACGACCATCTCCAGCCTGCAGCAGCGCACAGAGTACGGGTTCCAGGTGCGGGCGCGGACCAGCCGCGGCTGGGGCGAGTTCACGGACCCCGTGTTCGGTACCACTGGCCAGCTGCTCGGCACAGGTGAGGAAAGAGCGAGGGAGTGACTGAGAGAGGGTGCTGTGAGGAGACAGGGCAGGGTTCAGGGTGGTACAGAGTAAGGGGCAGGATAGTTCGAAGGGGTGGACTTCTTGAGAGGAGAAACAGTGCACTGCCTGCCCAGCCCAATGCCCATAGTTGTCTAGTACGGCTTTTCGGTACTGCATTCGAGCTAGGTGCAACATGTGCCGCTTTCAATATCACACAAAATATTTTCAAACCAATGTGCCTGTATATTGAAATGCAAAATTCGCACCACCCCCCGGGACGGCCGCGGGGCAGTGTCATTTTCGGCAGGCCAGCCCCAGGCGTCGTATTTCCGGCCGGCGGCCGCCCCCGGAGTGCCGGAAATGTGGCCGGGTCATTCACGGTATCAGGGGTACCTCGGCCGCAGGGGCCGATAGGCCGGTCATGGGGCGCAGTTGAAGAGCTATGAGGTCGCCAGCCAGCCGAGAAAACGATCCGCTATGGCAGTTTGATATGGCGCTGAATGAGGGACCGCATTGGCAGCGAGCAGGAGGTTTTGAAACCAATGAAAAGCCGGAGCGATGAATAGCGGGCTCTTGCCATTCAAATGTAATTCAGTTTTATTGATACAGCATCGTCATTTTTATTCCGTCTTACAACCATACGTATAAGAGCGCTGTAAAGGGACCGCAAAGGTCAAATATCAAGTTGACCTCCATCCGTTCCCCTCGCCCCCATATCTGTAGCCTCTGTGCTCTGGCCATGGCGCCTCGGGACCATATACATTTCTGGGCTTGACCAGCCGGCACCAATCTGGGCCTTCCAATGGAGAGCCATCACTGGCCGATTTATGTGTGAAATAAATCACCAACGCCGACCCGGAGACGCCAGCCAGACTGGGGAGGACCGGGAAGTGGCCGGAGCCCGGACCGGCCCGGACCGGACCGGACCCGGAAGGTCCGGACGGTCCGGAGCACGGTCCGGAGGCCGGCGGTCTCCATGGCCGCGAGCTCCCCGCTCATGGCGGACCGCTGAGCTAATCCGGCACGAGCAGAGCGCGCCGACGGCTGGGAAGTTGGCGACGTCGGCGGGCACGATCGAAGCTGGCTGCAGCACAAATCAACTGATTGGATCGGTTTCGGCGCGGCTCGACCCGGCCCCGCCGTAGGTTAGATCTCATTTGCGATTGATGGTCTACTGGGCACTCAAAGCACATTTTCATTCGGCGCTCGCTGCCCCAGGGCCTGCGTTATTCATCTAATCGAGTATCGATAAATCTGTCATACGGGTATGGGTTTTCTGGAGAGGAATACCCGTAGGAAAACTTAGTATCGCTATTGACATGCAAGACGGGATTAGGATATCGTGTGGTCCCAGATTTCCAATGTTGTTAATCAGCTCTTCGCGGTACGTTACCTTCTTCGAATCTGTTCGCTTTGGTATTGATGAAGGAAAGCTCTTCAGTCAAGTATCATCTAAGTCATCCGTTTCGTTTCTCGTAATGTATTTGTTAATTTTCCCAACATCACAGAAATCCTCTAAGTCGCGTTCAGAACTGGAGTCGCCTTTCGACGTTATATGCCAACATGCCTATTACTGCACTTCTTTTAAGTTTTAGCGTCGTGCGATATGAAATCGCCTCAATTTCCCGCACTTAACTGCTGATGACTTGACATTAAAGTGAGACAGAATGTATTCTAACACGGCGAAGACACGTGGTGTTCCTATTAAGCCGTTTCTTGCGTCAGGCGCGTTGACGACACATAAACTGAATAGTTTGCATTTCATGACACTCTGGATGTGGCACTAAATCATACGATGACAGGTTCGAGTCTCAATTTATATCGCCAGCGAAGTGATAACGTTTGACACTGGTATAGGATTTATCGAGTAGGGCGAATGTTGCCAAAAGTTTCAGCCGAACTCGAATTGAGGTCGGGGTTTGTGAGCTGTGAAGTGATTTGTGGGTCTGAACGCATAGTTACCCGGCCTTACTTGCTGCTGAATCTTTCGATTGTTTGTGTAGTCTTCATTTATTTGTGCGTTGCCACTTTTTGCGGATGTGTCTTTTGCTAGAAACACAATCTAAATCGCAGTGGCTGATGGCCAGTATGCTGGCTGTGATGCTCTTTTTAAAAAGCTTTCGTTTTCCTGGCAAATTGTAACATTGCCTGTTGCATTGCTATTACTTGGACACGGAGCGGATTACATCGGATAATGTCACCCAAAATGGAGGGTGCGATCGTAAGCGATTTGCCAGATCACAGAACTACACAGAGCTGACAAATACCTGTCGCTGTACAGGGCGATCACACGACAGCCAATCTATTTATCACGCTGCACTTTGGCTAATCAAACCGACTCAGTGTCCTGTAGTGTCCCCTCTCCCCCTGTGAGCTAGCTGTAGCTCTTGCCGTCGACCCAGTCTGTCTCTGTGGCACCTCGTTGACGTTTCTGCCGATGTTACAGCGTATGTTGGCGAGGATGACGGCGTGAAGGTGCGCATCATCGCCGGTGCCACGGTGGCCGTCATCGCCCTGCTCGTCATTATCGTCATCATGGCGGTACTCTTCCTCAGAAGGTGAGATACGTCGGGAAAAACTCAAGAAATACAGGGCAAACATTGACTAATGTAGTGCACATAGATCACGAGGCCTATGCCAGAAACGCAAACGTCTGTAAACAACGTTGAGCTGTCGTCAAATGGCAACAGGCTCCCAAGTGCTAGGGTTTAGTGGTCGATGTTTTTCATACCGGCCCTGAATGGAAATTGGTGTCGAGCGGTAGTCAAGACATTATGCATAACAGGATATTTTTATTACGGTGTTTTATAGTCATAGTTATTATCACGGGTGTGTCACTGTCTGCGACAAGTTTTATGAGGCTGCTTGTCGCCACCTGCAACACGAAATATCGACTACAGAAATGTCTGACATGCTCCTCTCTTATCGCTTCCTTCGCCGTGTTCCCGGCTTTATGTGCTTATGTAAGCAGGCATAAATGAATCAAAATAGGACTTGTTCAGCATCATACTCTTGTCACTTCTTGCCTGGTTATGTGGCATTGCTGAATCCATACATTTCTGATGTTCCTCGCTGAAGAAATACTTGTTATGTCTTGTTGCTAAACGCATGCTAGACGCTAAACGTTGTTTTTCATCATACAGTATGTATTATTATACCGTTTTTGTCCGTTTTCCGTTTACCGTTTTCCATATTTTTCCCTATTTTCCATGTTTCTGACGGGGTTTTTCTGTCTCCGTTACAGCCGAGGTAACGAGGAGTGCAATAAGAAACAGCCGAGCGACTGTGATACGCTGGAGTATCGCAATGGTGAAGGTACATAGAACTAACCAGCGCGCGAGACGCGTCCCCTGCCATACCCACCGATACCTATGGCCATAATCATACCCATGCCTAAACCTATACCGATATCACGGCCATGTCCTTGCTACATTGCGTTCTTATTGTCTGTCACCCTCCCGTAAACTTTTCAGACATTTCGCTCATAGTTTCTTTGGATGAGCAAAATTGTTAAGATAAGTTCGTTGGGTATTCACATGGGGCCACATCTATATTGCACCTGGCCTTTTTTACTCGGTAATACCAAATTTAGTCAGAAGCTGTTGACTGTACAGGCAGGTGGCTTATTCCGTGCCGCTCGCTGGACTTAAGCACAGCAGTGCTCGTCGCTCGAGAAGGTCGCCGGGCACACAGTCAGGTCACTGGGAGCAGATGGGTGTCGGACAGGACGTTCCAGACAGAACATACACGCGAGCTTATTCAAGGATCCTGATTGAGTTGGGCGGACCTTGTTAATCTTCAGACATGACCGCATGTAAGGCTGCAGCAAACAGTGGTGAATGATGTCCGGGCACCCTGTGAGATATGAACAGACCTCCCCTGGAGACCGCGACATGAGGGGTGAGTGGGCGTGAGCACGCTCCCACTGGCGGATCCAGCCATTTTCAAACGGAGGGCCAAAGTCGGACACTTTCTGTGTGCTTCATAATGGTTTACGGGATGTAGGATACCGATTAGGTATTCCTCCAGAAAAAAAAAAACTCCTGGTGTAAGTTTAATCAATTGCAGGGCAATTGTATTGTTTGATCGTAACATTCCCAAGACATTCATTCAACATTCAACATTCGAAAGAACACAAAAAAGTCATGTGCAAAGTATTAACGCTCAGTATCCCAAACTCATCTTTAAACCGGCGACCTGTCATTATGCCGCGGCAGGGACGTGAAACAAGTTGTCCAATCAGTCTGGCTGTGAGCCTAATCAGTTCTGAACTTATCTGAGGAACTAACTATTGGCCAAATTACAGACGGGTGACCTTTTCATCGACCGTCCTGAAACCTTTACTGGCCACCCTTACGCGGTTCTTTCATTCGTTGTGGATCATTTATTGGTATGGAACGAGTCTCTTGATTGATGGAAGAATCTGTTAACGTTTTAGTTATAGTCAGCTCAAAGAACTGTAGCACGTCCTTTCCTAAGTGTCAGTAATAGCGCATACCGATCTTGCCGTTCGAACCATATAAGTAACTAGCTATACCAAGTGTCCAATCTGGGTGATTTCCTCTGACCCAAAGCTGGGCTGACCTGACTCGCTGACCCGTTGACCTGACCTACTGACCTGACCCGCTGACCTCTCCCCACGCTGCCAGGCCTGGTAGTGACCTACAGTAAGTCTGACGTGCCCCCTCGCCCCCCCCCCCCCCCTCGCTCGCCCACGCAGTTAGACGCTTTGCATGTGCCTACGTTCTTGGAGAAGCGGACGGTTTGCCTCTGCAGTGAGGCCGGAAGCCGGTCTTATTTAATAATGCCTCCCGCGTAGTAGTGCATGCCATGACAGCGCTGATAAATGAATAGCGTAAAATGAGCAGCATGGACCTGAATTACTTTGTGAATGTTGTATTGCTGTGTAAATATTATATCACTTTTGTCGTCTTTTTAATTTACAAAGTGTATAAACGATTGTCCAGGTTTCATCAACTAAGAGCTATGCTTTCGAATGGCTGTCGACATGTTTTTCAAAGTCAATGTATTAAACTGAAAATTTCATGCAACCAGATTCAGCTTTCCAGTTTCTTTTATGGCAAAAGTGGGAAAAAGCGCTTGCAGTTTTCTGTCAATTATATAGGCACCGCCACATAACTGCGTGTCTTGTGCACGGTGTTGATGATTCATTGTTTGTTTCGGCATATGTTTAGGAATGCACAAGGAAAAAGAGTAATGCAACGAAAGTTCTAGTCGAAGATCGTAAATGGAAAATCTAGTATCCTATGGCATGATTCAATGGGTTTACAATGTCAGTGGTGTCCATATACTTTGTGACATCAGGCTCACTTTGTATCATTAAAACTATGATTACTCTTTTACTCGTCTGTTTATATCAGAAGGGATATTTTACAGTGTGCCCGTCTCTCCCTGCCCTTGCTCCCGTCTCATTGGACCTGCACCGTGTCCGTTACCCTATCACTATGTCCATTATCCCTTCCACTTCTGACCGGTCCCTGCCGTTGTAACCACGCCGTTCTGTCCCCGTCCCCGCCCCCTTCTGACCGGTCCCCCGCTGTTCTGCCCCTACTCTTGCTCCCTTCCCGCCCTCTGCTCCCCCGCCCCTTCTGACCAGTGCCCCGCCCCGCCTCCTTCTGACTGGTACCCCACTGTTCTGCCCCGTCCCCGCCCCGCCCCCTTCTGACCGGTCCCCCACTGTTTTGCCCCCCTCTCCGTCCCCCGCCCCGCCCCCTTCTGACCGTTGCCCCGCTGTTCTGTCCGGCTCTGTTGCAGTGCACCATGTGGCCAACGGATCGATAGTGCAGACCCATACGGCAGGAAGTAAGTGCTGGCCGTGTCGCGCACCGACCCTCAGCGCGTCCCCAGGGCTGACAGGGGGCGTCAGGGGGCACTGGAAGGTCACCTGGGTCTACAGAGGTTAATGCAGGGTCAACAAGGGCCAGTGCTTGGTCATCAATGGTTACTTGTTGGCCAAGGGTCTTGAGGGGTCAGTGAAAGATCACTAGGGTCATCATGGGTCACCAGGGGTCAAAATAGGGTCTTCATGTGCTACGGAATGGTCATTGATGTCGCTGCTTTTGGGAATATTATGAGATTTCGTGTATTCCAGGTACTGCTCGCGCCCCTGTCAGTCGATTTTTGATTTACCTAATGTACTATGCGTGTGATGTGCGTCTGATGATATGCAATTGCATTACGCGTTGCATAAAATGTCGCTGCTTTGCTCTTTGTGAGTCAATCCGGACAGAATGATGTGGGCAGAGCGGAACCTCAGTGGGAAGGGGAGGGGAGGCGGTGTCTCAGCGGAGGGAGGGGTCGCGTGTCGCAGCAGAGAGGTCCCATCGCGTGTCTCGCCTGTCGGGGAGACTGTCGCGTGCTGTGCCGCCTATGAGGCTGACTGCCTATCGCAGAGGGGATCTGTCCGTGCCCGCCGAAAGGACGCGATCAATGGCGCTTCACCCGCGGCAGTGGTGGCGCGGTGGTGGAGTATGTGGCGCAGGGTTGCATGCCAGCTACCACCTGGTTATTTGATGGGGTTATTGCTGGGGGAATTTCATATGTCGGCCGGGTGTAACTTATTCCGGTGATAACAATAATCGCGATAATTTGTGGCAGGGCTGAGTTGGGTGTATAGTGAGCGATGATCACACAGCATGACACTGGGAGGGAAGTTGGCTAAAGGAGATTCACAGTTGGGAGAGAGTAAGACGCTGCTCTATAGGACCAATGACCAAGATTTAAGTTGCTGATTCTATAGCTTGGGGACACATGAAACACTTGGCCGGATCCCGATGTATGCAACGCTTGAAATAAATGTGTTGTAAAAACCAACCACCCAACACACTTCTGGGTATAAATAAGCAGTATTTTTCGTCGATACTTCTCGTAGTCAGCATGCCAAAAACTCATCTAATCTGGCTTAGCTGCGAGCATAACTCCGACCGCTAGTAGATCGAAACTCATTAACTCGGGATATCCCACATATAAACTAAACCCTCCTCCTCCAAACGTCGAAGTAACCTCCGTGTCTGCTTTTTCAGTGACGACGCCGCTGTTCAACCCGGTGACCCACCAGCGGACCTATATTGACCCTCACACGTACGAGGACCCGAACCAGGCGATACGCGAGTTCGCCCGCGAGATCGACGCGTCTCACATCATCATCGAGGCGGTGATCGGCGGCGGCGAGTTCGGAGACGTCTGTAGAGGAAAACTCAGGGTGAGTTAGGGAGTTGATGAGTGTGGAACGGAGAAATTGGCAGGGGTAACTCATGTTAGAAGAAGGGGAATGAGAAATGAGAGCTTTTAGGGAACCAAGTTTCAGCCTCCCCGAGCTCTTCGCCCATGGAAAGGGTTCTGCTATGAAAACAAAACTAGCCTCAGGGCTGCTATGCAACTTTATAAACACTGCAGCTGGGTTGAGCCTCCAGCCGACGTTAATGCACGTCTAATTTATGAGTTTGTAGCCCTGTAAACATGTCACTGGCCGAGTCCTTTCGGTGGCAGTCGATAGATGTAAAGTGTCCATGACAGTTGGATAGCGACAACTCAAGAAACTCAAGATTACTTTCAAACGATATTTATTTTTAAATTACTTTTAAATACACAAAGCTTTCGGTCACATTCGACCTTGATCACTGTGTTTCACAATGTTTCACAATTATACAAACTTCGCAAAAATGATACAAAAACCGTCTAAAATTCTTAATGTGAAGCGCATGAAAATTTCCTAGCCTACCGCCAGTTTTGCTGCCCAGGATGATAATGAAATGAACCCACTTCTCGAGTTTTTGTATCATTTTTGCGAAGTTTGTATAATTGTGAAACATTGTGAAACACAGTGATCAAGGTCGTATGTGACCGAAAGCTTTGTGTATTTAAAAGTAATTTAAAAATAAATATCGTTTGAAAGTAATCTTGAGTTTCTTGAGTTGTCGCTATCCAGCAGTCGATAGAGTTGCAGTCGACCAGATTTGTTGGCCTCCGTCTTGAGCAAGACACTCTGCTGTGAAGTAGACAGCCTTTTCTCGTAGTACTCAGGCGGTGGGATTTGAAACATGGTTCTCTGACAGCTATACTCGTATGTTAGTGCTGCTTCACTGTCTGACAATTCGCTAAATAACTAAACCGGCACTCAGCCAAAAATACGTCCACAAACACCGCTTAATTCTCCAGCCAAGCCCGTATTTCTTTGGGACTAGATGTTAACGATCTAAGTTGGCCCTAATACCGGTCTAAGTGGACTGACCGCCAAGTGTGACCCACCTCGCCCGCGCTATGTGAAACTTGAAATTTATTACTTCACAGCCCTACTCGGTGGGGCTGTATAAAATCCACTTTCGGCGCTACGAACTCCTCACATGCATACCCAAGTCGCGGTGGTTCGTTATTCAGTAGATCAGCGTCGGCACTTCACATCGGTCAGCCGCAGGTGCTGAATGTGATTCATTGCATTACTTAGCGGATATGGTCGGATCAATGCTGGATATTCGTGGAAACGGTAAACAAGAAACGCATGCCACTGCCGCAAAACCTGCGGGACGTCAGATTTCGGTCGTCAGCTGTCCTGTAGCCGTCACGAACCGTCACAATCCGTCACGAACCGTCACGAACTGTCACGCGCTCATTACGGCGCCCGTGTGACGTGTCGTGGATGGTTTACGAGCGGGGGTCGGCACGGAATTTGGCCCGTCTGCCGCAGTCGCCGCCCATTGTAAGGGACGCTGAGCGTCGCTTCTCGATCAAATAGACGCCGACGCCTCGGGTCATGTTTGTGATATGTTGGAGAGCTGAAAGCATTACGAACTTCAGTCGGATCTAAAATGGTTATGGAATGTCTGTGTTATTTTTGCGACCAAGAATGTGTCTAGCTCTTCATGCTGTATGAACATAGTCTCGCCTTAGACGGGTCAATTTCGGTTTGTGTGCGCTATGTCGTTTATACTATTGCCCATTGGTGACTGCTATATCCTGGTATACGAGACCCAGTGGTTGTTAAAGACGTTTGTCGTATCAGTGAATCACGTCTGCATGGCGTTGTACCCACTACCCGGAGTCGAGCCGTCGATCTCACCCTGCCGTTGCTAGCTGTGGCCAAGGATCGGATTACTATTGCGGCTAATCCTTCACTGTCACGCAAGGCCATGGGTCTTATCGTAAACCACACGAACATTCGTCCGCGCTTTGTGCATCTGCCTCCCGGTGGCAGGCAAATTCGTACACCGATGGCAAACAAGATGGATGGGCAAAACCAGCGCCTTACATAGAACATGGTCAAGGTGTAGGTACTCAGTGGTACAGAAAATGCTGAGTTAATGTTACTGACTTCCCTTGTTTGTCACTCACTCACCTGTTGTGACAATGACCCCTTAGTCACTGACCTTGACCCCGCCTGTGACTGACCTTGACCTCTGCCCTCAGATTCCAGCTCGTCAGGAGATCACTGTCGCCATCAAGACACTGAAGCCGGGTTCATCGGAGAAAGCCCGAGTGGACTTCCTGACTGAGGCTTCCATCATGGGCCAGTTCGAGCACCCGAACGTCATCTTCCTACAGGGCGTGGTGACCAAGAGCAACCCGGTGATGATCATTACCGAGTTTATGGAGAACGGCAGCCTGGACACCTTCCTCAGGGTCAGTGGAGACGGCTGGCAGTGGTAGGGGTGGGCTTGTATTAGAGCTGGTCTCGGCTCTTGGGGCACATTGGTTCTTGGGATACACATTTATATTCCTTTCTTTCAAGCAAACTGTCCTTAAATGCTAGAGAAAATAGTTTTAAAGCATTGTCTTATAGTCATCAAGTAGATGAATGATTGCAATAAGAACTGTAACAAAAACGAGTGATGGTGATACAAATAGATGCTGGAGCCTTCCGTTTTGAGAACCGTTCCCATGAGAGATAAGCGCAGGCCACAGCACCAGTTGGCTCACTCGAAGCGGGCCAGGGTCGGTCCGTCTCTCCCAGCTTGTCAATCGGTGCATATGCGCCGGCGCTACCGCCCCGCCGGCGCCCGTTCCCAGAACTGCTGTGGCCGACTGGTGAGAGCCATCAATATTCAATGAGCCGCTGGCCGTGGTCAGTTCTGTCGCCGCCGACTGCACCTCTCGCTGACGGCCGTCACTTGGCATGCAGCACTCAGAGATGTGCGGCCAACAGCGACGTGTAGACCCTAATGGGCAGTGGCGTCTCTCATGTTAAACATGACGGCGCCGGCTGAATGCCATGTCGGACGCAGTGGTAGTCGCTGCTGCCGCTACTGCTGCCGCTGCTGCTGCGGCAGTGACCTCCTTGACTACTATCTTAGACTGCAGATGACACCCTCAACTCCCTCTCCACTCACTAACCCGTCCCCATCTCTACTCAACAGGCAAACGACGGCAAATTCCAGATCCTTCAGCTGGTTGGAATGCTGCGTGGTATTGCCGCGGGCATGCAGTATCTCTCTGAGATGAACTACGTGCACCGCGACCTGGCCGCGCGCAATGTGCTGGTCAACTCGCAGCTGGTGTGCAAGATTGCAGACTTTGGCCTGAGCAGAGAGATTGAGAGCACCACAGAGGGCGCGTATACCACACGGGTGAGTAATGGTGATAGACTGATTCAATGAATACCCACTCCCACTCAGTATCCAGTACGAGTATGCTAACGAAGTGCATTAAATTCGTGTAAACGTTCGCATTCATGTCTTCCCTAGTTTTAAGCTTGTATTTCGGGCCAGTGCGACATGGCAGTTGTGTGAATTGCGATTGGTTTCAAAGCTTTCGATGCAAAATAATCAAGCTAGCTTTCATTTTGTCAATACATTTTTTTACCAGCCTTCAGCTTTTATCCATCGTTCAACGTGTAAATTGTCCATTGCATTCAAGGCTTTCATATCATTCATCCCTTTTAAATGATCACGTCAGCACGTTAGCTTCACCCGTTAAACCCCCTCCGGCGACTGACGCGTTCTCTCCCGGCACGTAGGGCGGCAAGATCCCAGTGCGGTGGACTGCGCCGGAGGCCATCGCCTTCCGCAAGTTCACGTCCGCCTCGGACGTGTGGAGCTTCGGCATCGTGGCGTGGGAGGTGATGTCGTACGGAGAGCGGCCCTACTGGAACTGGAGCAACCAGGACGTCATCAAGAGCATAGAGAAGGGATACCGGTGAGGCCCGGAGCTAGGGAGGAAGGGAACATAGAACTGGGGATGAAGAGTATGGGAAGGATTAGGAGATGCGCAGGTAGAGATGAGGGGTGTATTTGGGGAATGGATAAGAGATAATTGGTATTAGGGAGTGCTGCTGTCCTGCTACAAGAACTGACTATGGCTCGAACAGAGCGGTTAGCGGTCGTTCAGAGAGCATTAGAGCCGTTCTATGGCTTGTATCGGATGGTCTGTTCTGTGTCTCTGTCATTCAATTCAATTCAGTGTTGAGTCCCATCTAAACCGTCTTGCCCCGTTGTATCGTTCAAAGTACCCACTTACCCTGCTGTGTTCCATTCAAACCGTCTGACATCACTCTTTCCCTCGTCAGGCTGCCGGCGCCGATGGACTGCCCGGAGGCGATGCACCAGCTGATGCTGGACTGCTGGCAGAAGGAGCGTGCCCACCGGCCGGCCTTTGCCAGCACCGTCAAAACGCTGGACAGTCTCATCAACTGCCCGGACACGCTGCGTAAAGTGGCGCCCAATAGGTGAGCATTGCAGAGGAGCCCAAGAGAGGATGGTAGAGACGGCGCGCTGAGATAGGGGCTTGTGGTGGTAGCTAGTTAACGGGTTTTGTTAATTTGTAGATTTTCTTAAGCATTGCGGCCAATATTATTGCGGCCTGCTTATGAAGATCGTTGGCAGACGTGATTTTTCTTTTGTACTTTTTGGGCTTCAAAACAGATTAGCTGTTCTACGCTATGCTTTAGCTGAGACAAAGTCACGAAACGAAAGAAAATTTAAGTAAGTCCTGTGCAATCAAAAGAGAAAGGTGTAGACCACGATAGAATAAATAACAAAATGGTACTTCATAAATAGCGCATCTCCACGTTTTCACCACGAGTGAACGTCGTCCGTTAAATGCCTGTTGGTGACGGTCTCTCTGTCTCTCTCCCTCTCTCCCTTTTCTCTCTCCCCTCTGTCTTCTCCGTCCGCTCGGCTGTCGCCGCCCCTGCAGCAGGTCAATGCCAAGTTACGGGCCGTACTATACCACCACATCGTCTTGGGTGCAGTTCACCCCCGAATACTCTAGGTTAGAGTCGATCATTGTCTCTGCCTGTCTCTGCCCTGTGTGTACACTTTGCACGATGGTTGCATGCTCTGTGCATGAGAATACGCTGCACTTTGAGACATTTGGACTTTAAAACTCGAGCGGACATGAACCATTTTTGTAGCCTTCCGGTTTTCTGAACTTAACTCGGATGAGCTGGATGAGCGTTTCAGCTACCGCAGTTTTCCTCCAATATTCGTTCATCCGGTCCCTTTCACTTGCACTGTACGACCCGTGCAATATATATTTGCGTAGCTTTCGCTTGCTTTCCACATCGCTGAGAAACCTAGCACCCAGCCTAGCTTTTGCATCTTTAAAGTTAGGTCACTTTTCATTCAAGCTGACGAAAAACAACTGTACTGCTTGCTGTAATTATATGATCGTTCTGCGCAGTGTGCACCTAACTCAGGCTGTGCATCATGCTCCCTGACACCCTTAACGGCACCGTGGTTCCTGGCATGATGTTATCTCCTATTGCTTTTTTTGACATTGATTGAGACGTGCCTGCCTGCAATCTTTTTTATGCAAAGTTATCCAGAAAAATAAACTCCGCAAGGCTTTTACATTGGTGAATATTCACACGTTTACTATTCATTATTTATCTTACATTTTGAATTAACTAGTGTGCAACAGTGGAAATGGGTGGCCACTGGCCAGTAGCCACTGCAGCGTAAAAAAAAAAAATGTTTATCAACCCGATGAGAGTTGACGGCTGAGAGTCAGCTGGCCTTTATTCAACTCTACCCGTATCTCACGCACCCCTTGCTACCATCCCACTGAGTCTGACACCACCGTCTCTCTCCCCGCCAGGAACACGAACCCGCTGGCCCCGGACGCGCCCGATCTCACCCAGATCACCACTGTCGAGGAGTGGCTGGCGTCCATCAAGATGACCCGCTACTTGGAGAACCTCCAGGGAGCCGGCATCACCAGCATGGATGCCGTGACGCGGCTGACGCACGCCGACCTTCCGGCGCTCGGTGTCACGCTGGTCGGCCACCAGAAAAAGATCATGAACAGTGTGCAAGCGTTACGCGCCCAGATACATGCGAATATGTCTGAGGCGTACTTCGTGTAGTGGTCGAGTGGCGGCGCTAGTGCGGCGCCAAGTCAACGGGCTTTAACGGGCGCCCGCCCGGTGGCGCCGAGGAGACTCATCAAAATGTCATGCCCTCCACAGTTTGTGTGCGCGGACCGCGGACATTCCATAAGCGGTGCAGTGTCCGCGCTAGGTGTTATCGAAGTGCGGCGAGGCGGCGCGCCCGCCTTCCAAAGACATTAATATGAAAGCCTGTGATCTTATGATAAGTGTGCCGTCGGTTCGTTCTCCCCCAGTGTGTCGTCAGCTGTATGTCTAGTCTCCAGTCTGCCCCCCTCGCCGGGACGCTTCGCTCTCCCTCGCCCGTGCCCCCGACTCGCTGTTTCTTTCACGGTGGACACCTGTGATGTTGCCTTTGATGATTTGTACTGAGTTTTATCGCCTGTATTTATGTTTTGTACAAACTGTACATTCGCCAATATGCAAAGCCCTTTATGGTGGTACTGCGGGAGGCGCGAAGCCGTCACTGCAGCACGGGCATCTCTCGCGGCTCGTGTAGCGATTCGAGCGTTATTGTGTCGTTCGGGCGCTCGCTGCAGCTAGTGTCAGTGTGTGCTGACCGTCATCGAAAGTGTTGTAACGAATGTGCGAGGTACGCGTGTGTATGATGCATCAGATTGATAAGTGAGTGTGTCAGTGCCAGCGCAACTGGGAGCAAGGCTCAGCGTGTGTCTACGCTCTGTCGACTGGCGGCCGCTGACTCAAATGCTAGTTCTCCTCCTTGTCCCTGGGCAGCGCTAGGTGCATCTGAAGCAAAACCAGGGGACGAGTGAGCGAAACTGTCATTACGGCGGCCTGTCATCCATTATTTCGATACTAAACAACCATCATATCGAAGCTCCCTCTCCCTTCGGTGGTGTTGGCTGCTGTCGATCGGCTCAGCGCGCCTGTCTGAATCCACAGACCCTGTGAATCTGGCGGCCGCTCTAGTTGACAGCTCGCGACTTCACCCAGTTTGTCTGCCATGGTGGCCCGAGCAGAGCGCCCGGGACACCCAACGAAACGTACACGGCTAGTTCCTTTCTGAGAGTGTCTGTATGCGCGACGAGTGTGTGTACCGAGCTCGCCGTCTGCGCAGCGACGGTCACCGAGCGCGTTTGGTTGCAAAACACTGTTGTTAACGCACGCGTTATTGGTTGGCGCACTCGAAACGTTGGCTGCCCGTTTCCGATGCTTAAATTTCAGCTTCCTTGGCGTGAGAGGGATCAAGTTTTTGATACATAACGCTGTTGTACTATTTGTATAGAGCTTTGAGTTGAAAATAAATGATGGTATTTGTATGCGGTGACTATTCCGGGGGCGGTGACCGATGGGGGAAAAACGCTTAGTTCGACGTTGGCAACATAAAATATCAGAATTAGATTAGACAAATACCACTTGAAACTAGCGAGCAGAAAATAAAAGACACTACCTTACTTCGAGCAAAGCGGATCGATAGGTTTATGAATTGGAGCCAAGCACAGCAAGGGGAATTTACCACCGTATGGAAAATAGTTTGCCGATTTTACCCAGCTACGGTATTTTGGAGGAAGTGACACCAGGCTAAATGCCTAAATATCGGTATCAATATCTGCAAATAACTTTACCAGCTTGCAGAACAACGATGTTGGTATCATTATTTTGTTTAATGTCATCCGCGTCAAATGATGCATATAATTTTATGTCTTTGTTTCGGGTCAAGGGTCCAGTCAATTGGGTGACACTCATTCAGCTAAAATAGGGAGATCGCAAGACCGACCCAAACCCATATACCCTTTATAAAAACGAAATATGCGAGTTGCGAAGGATTGCCCGGCAAAGGGAACGCTGTACAGTTGCGACACTTTTGATCGTCAGAGGTTCAGTTATGAATATGTCAGTGATTTAACCAGCTCAGTAAATATCACATCGAGCTGAAATAAACGGCTTCTATCGACGGTCAGGTTTTTTAGATTCATTTATCTATCTCAGACACGTTTAAGGCAATTGCAAAGAAGTGTGGCACTAACATGGCTTGGCATTTGGCAAGTTCATATCCCAGCAACTATTGGGCTGATTGACTAGAAGTCTTTTTGCTTGACAGCCTTACCAGTGTAACTCCTACCAGGTAGTTCCTGAGCTTTTTTCGTCGGTCATACCGTGAAGATGAAGATATATGCTAACACCAAATATTATCGACACTGAAATGTATATTTTGATCGCTCATAAGCGCTCACAACAAACAGACCAAACAGAAATAAAGCTATTTAGTACATATAAATACAATTGACAATTTTGTTTGCGGGTATTTAGTTGTAGGCCGGCTTGTAGGCGGGCTGGTAGGCGGGCTTGTAGGCGGGCTTGTAGGCGGGTTTGTAGGCGGGCTGGTAGGACGGAGCGGCGTACGAAGCGGGCTTGTAGCTGGGCTTGTAGCTGGGCTTGTACTCTTCGTAGCGGGCCTCGCCCTCGTAGGTCACCTCGGCGTTGTAGCCTCCGTAGCCCTGCTGGTCAGCCACGTACTTGACCGTCTGCACACGGCCGTCGGGCAGGTTGACCGAGTAGTAGCCGTTGACGTTCTTGGCGTCGCTGTTCTCGTTCTGCGAGAAGACGGCGCCCGAGTAGTGGTCGTTGACGGCGTAGTCGAACTGGTACGGCTGAGCGGGCTCCTTGTAGGACGGCTGGTGGTAGGCCGGGGCCGGGTGGTAGGCCGGCCGGGGGCTGTAGGGGGTGGAGGGGGCGGCGGCAGCCACGGTCACCAGGGCAGCAACGACGAAGAACTGCAAGACAGACAGAGATGACAGTTATAAATGAGCAGATTTTAGTTATGTTTCACATTGAGCTCATCTTCACATTTCCTTTTATGAAACGGGCGCGGTGCTTAAACGCTCAAAAGTGTATGATAAGATGATTAATGAATATATTAGTCCCATAACCGAAAGTTTCTTTGCAGTGCTTTCATTCCACAAGACTCAAACCACGCAACAGAAACGCTATAGGGTGTTGTCCGTCGAGGAAACTTACCTTCATGTTTGCAGAGATTGTCTTTGGCGACTGATATACTGTGAACGGCGGACCGGCCTTCCTTTATACCAGCCAGCGACCGTAACCTTGGGTTAGAGTGAGGGCGGGGCTGAGCAGGTAGATGTGGAACACTGCATAGCCGACATTGCGGTAAAAGGAAGTGACCCATCTGGAAGGTAGCATAGGTACTAATTTAACCCACGAATTGCTTTGGGGGGAGGTTAAACACCCCCACGTTTTCGCCGTGCTAGGTAGGTATAGCTTAAAAATGGTACGCCTCATGCGCGCCAAATTGTCTTATCTGTAGCGAGTTGATTGAAGTTTATTAAGGCAAGGTTAACAAAAAATCAGTCGAAAACTTTTCGAGGTATATGGAGGCTTCAGTAACGTCATGGTTTCGCAGTATTCAACCACAAATGGCATATGCTTAAAAAATCATATGAAATCACAAAACAGACGCACAGACATGACATGACGTAAATGCCATTAGACTCTCAATGTACTGAACATGCAGTCAAAAAATGGCTACCTTCGAATTTTTAGTGTTGTTCTACATTAACCTAAATCCTAAACTGAAGCTTGGCACCTTATCGTGGCATACTTCTCGGTCGTGATGCATGCGTCAATACGTTGAACTTTTTTACAAAAAAAAACTTCTTATGATAAAAATGGACGCCCCCTCGACGTCTAGTCTAAAACTACCTATAAAATATATGTATTGTGCCTGCACGAATGCCAACTTTGGATTTTCAGGGATCCTGATACTTGATTGACCTGACCTTGATCCTAAACTGTGACCACTAAATTCAATTTTAAAGTTCTCATGCGAAGCATCTCGTCGCTTTCTTTCGTTTGTCACCTCGCGCGTTTCGCTGGTTATTGAATGTCGACTTATTGGCTCAGGGCGTTTAAGCCCCCCCCCCCGCCACCACCACCTAGCAGCAATTGGTGGGTGCCGAAAATACCCCAGTTACTGCCCGGTTAAGCATTTGGGTTACATGAAGTAACGCGCATCAGGAACGGATTGTCCAATTCCCTCAGCATTGTAATCCGTTTGTAACACGCATTTGCTCTGCTCATGTATCCCCGGTCAAAGAACGATGGTTCTATAAAAAGACGTAGGTACAGTGATCGTCTAACCCTCGCCGGCCAAGGGCTGCCACCTCCCCCCCCCCCCATAGTTTTTTTTCGCGATAGCTCAGAACGCGCCGGCGATAGAGTTGAAGCTTCGCATACCGGACCGTGAATTCAAGCCGGGGCTTGTGACACCAGCCGCATTTTCAGGTCAGGTCAGGTCACTGCCCTATGACGTCATAGGATAACCTCTCCACGGTCCTAAAATGTCACAACTTCGCAACGCCCTCATGGTGCCAAAGAAGCTTACACAGGGAGATTAGACTTACAGGACTAGTTATGCATGGTATCCTTCAGAGGTCTCACAACTTGCATTTATCGGATTTCTCCCTAAGGTCACATGGGGTCAGGTCGACCACGTGACTCACTAGGGATGTAAATTACAGAGTTTCGAAATACCGATAACAAACCAATTACCAACCTCAACTATGAGGAAATACCGAAATCGAACCAACATGGGAACATAAAGGAAATGCCAACTTTTTACTAATTTCTCAGCTTCTTATACATTAGTGAGGGTCCATAATGCCAACAAAATACCGAACACATTATGATTGAAATACCAAATACCAAGTTGGTATCGGTCTGGTATCGGTTGATGTTTGACATCTCTAGAGCTCACCATAAGTCAATGGGAGAAATGTGGAAACTGCTATTTTGGCGCCGGAACTGGATCTAAAATGAGTATCTCTAGCACACGGAACTGTGATTCCATACACTCCTTGCAAGGTCTGCTTTCCTTTGGCATCATTCACTGTCCGTGACGTCATTTATGAGGTAACTTGAAGGCCACAACAGTTGTTCGAACAAATAAGCTGTCGAGAGGCGGGAAAGCCTCCAACTGACTCGGGAAGACCTGCCCAATCGAATGATATACGATATGACCTCTTTCGATCAATTTGGTGACCTGAAGGGCTCTGACCTGACCTGGACCTGGGTTCAGCACCTTACGGTGACCTCATCCAAACAAAAAATATACCATTCGACGCCGCCTGAGCTAGACAAACACGATGATGCCAAAATCGCATCTCTGCGGCTATTTTAAAGGAAGCTATTTACCTACCAAAAAGCAAACCTGTGCCTTGGGCCGCTTGACCTGACCTCAGAGGCCACCCGTTGACCTGAGAACATAAAATCGATTCCCAGCTGCTGTGTCTCGTAACCGTGCACACTTTCGTTTTTGTGCGAGGTTCTAGCTCAATTAGGGGTGAAACGGTGAGGAAGGGTCGAAGTACAATTCTCGGCCGGGACTTTTGTAGAAAACCAATAGGTCCGGTGAGGTTTCAAGAAACACAAAGAGTGCCTGACAGCTGACAGCCAGGCGAAAGCATACCTATTTACCTAAGCGTGCTGTCTTTCGTTCGGGTTCGGAATCATATACCATGCTGGCTGCTGCCCATAGACAAACACTAAAAAGACAAACGCTAAAATACTGATAAATCTTTATCACTTGAACCGATGAAGGAACGCCTCCGAAATATGTTAAGTGTTTTTGTAACTTAAAGCAATTCTTAGAATTTTAAACAGAAGGTTATTCCATTAAATATATACACTAAAAAGATATAAATGTCAATGAAATATATATTTTGTACGCAAAAACAGTCACAACCAACGGACCAATCTCACGTAAAGCCACTTATGAATTGATATACATAAATAGAAAGAAAAGCTCAGTTCAAAGAACTTTAGTTGTAAGCGGGCTTGTAGGCCGGCTGGTAGGCGGGCTTGTAGGCGGGCTTATAGGCGGGCTTGTAGGCAGGCTTGTAGGCGGGCTGGTAGGACGGAGCGGCGTACGAAGCGGGCTTGTAGCTGGGCTTGTACTCGTCGTAGCGGGCCTCGCCCTCGTAGGTGACCTCGGCGTTGTAGCCTCCGTAGCCCTGCTGGTCAGCCACGTACTTGACCGTCTGCACACGGCCGTCGGGCAGGTTGACCGAGTAGTAGCCGTTGACGTTCTTGGCGTCGCTGTTCTCGTTCTGCGAGAAGACGGCGCCCGAGTAGTGGTCGTTGACGGCGTAGTCGAACTGGTACGGCTGAGCGGGCTCCTTGTAGGACGGCTGGTGGTAGGCCGGGGCCGGTGCGTAGGCGGGGGCCGGGTGGTAGGCCGGCCGGGGGCTGTAGGGGGTGGAGGGGGCGGCGGCAGCCACGGCCACCAGGGCAGCAACGACGAAGAACTGAAAGGAGACAGAGATGACCGTTAGAAATTGGCAGATTTTAGTTATGTTTCACATTGAGCTCATCTTCACATTTCCTATATAAAACGGGCCATGTGCTTAAACGCTCAAAAGCGGATGATAAGATGAATAATGAATATACCTATTAGCCCCATATCCGAAAGTTCCTTTGCAGTGCTTTCATCCCACAAGATTCAAAACACGCAGCAGAAATGCTATATAGGGTGTACTTCGTCGAGGAAACTGACCTTCATGTTTGCAGATTGGGTCTTTGGCGACTGATGCTGTGAACGGCGGACCGGCCTGCCTTTATACCAGCCAGCGACCGTAACCTTGGGAACTGGAGGGAGGGCGGGGCTGAACAGGTAGATGTGGAACACTGTACGGTTTACTTGTGCAGGGAAGGGAAGGGAATTATCGTATGAATTCATCTGCATTTTTTCATGTGTCCTTTTTCTTGCGAATAGTTTGAGCTGATTCTGCAGAATCATTTCAATATTTGCATTTTTATGGAGCATAGCTAAATGGCTTCGGTATGCTGTCTTGATTGCATTTGCCGTTGAGCTTCTTTCGTTTTCATCCAGGTACGCAGAAGTCTTGCAAAAATTTTCTTTTCCTTATATGTAGCAGCTGGCAACAATGTTACAACAGTCGCTTGGGCAATATTTTGTGCTAGAAATGTTGTTAAAAGAAAGACAAAGCGCGAATGCTTTACTCTTCATCTCTTTATAAATAAATGCGGCTAACTCTTTTAAAAGTTCTTCTTTTATTTAAAGACCATGAAACTGCATAATTTTGGTGTCCAAGTCGACATTTCTTTATACCAAATCCGCAGTTTATCGTACATAATTGTTTGACATAACACTTGGAACAGTTGGAAGAGACGCTAAAATGAGGAAACTATGAAATGCCGTGCGGATTTTACATCGCATTGTAGGGGAGAACGGGGTAAAGCGGCCAACTTAACACTTTTTAAGATGCCGACACTTGATTTTAAAACTTTTTTTAAACTTGGAACGATTATTTTACTCCAATGTGATCCCTACTAAATTGCATTTTATTTCTTGATCCTAACCGTGGCCACTAAATTCAAATTTAAAGTTTTCATGCCAAACATCTCGTCGCGTTCTTTCGTTTGTCACCTCGCGCGTTTCGCTGTGGTTATTGAATGTCGATTGTGGACTTATTGGCTCAGGGCATTTAAGCCCCCCCCCGCCACCACCACCTAGCAGCAATTGGTGGGTGCCGAAAAAAAACCCAGCAACTGCCTGGTTAAGCATTTGGGCTACATGATAAAGTAACGCGCATCAGGAACGGATTGTCCAATTCCCTCAGCATTGTAATCCGTTTGTAACACGCATTTACTTTGCTCATGTAGGGGAGACCCGGGAGGTATGGGCCGGTTTTGTGAAATGACAATTTTCTTCCTATGAGCAGTGGCTAGACATTGTTTTTCACTCTTTGCACGTAATATTGCCTTTCAGCTGTAAAGTGTGCCTCATGTCAGGCATCTGAGATAAACTATTTTGTCTCGAGATAACTTTTATAAATCATGCGCTTTTTCGATCCATCAAAATACACTGGGAGGTATGGGTCATGTCCCGGGAGGTAGGGGCCGGTGTCATGTTTCATATTCTATTATCGGCATTGAGCGCAATATTCGTAGCTGTGATTTACCTTGAGCTCTCTCAGAGCCCAGGAACCGCATAAGCGGCCAACAACCCACTTCATGGAGGCCACTTTGTCACATATTGTTTTATCACGCTTCATGGCATAAAACAAATAACATTTTTATGCATGAATGCAATTTGTAGCTAAATTTTTGACCACGCGCGACAAAAAGAAAACTTATTGAAGAGGACATTCAATGAGAACATCGTTTTAATAATTTTGGATCACAAGGGGTGGGTGGCCCGAACCTCCCGATTAGGACACCAGAATGTGCGTAAGCATATCAGCGCATCATCTTGCGAGAAAGCTTCAACAGGTCAGCCCAGTCTTAATTTGCATGCTTTTAACTTAATGTTAGCGATAATGTGGCATAATAAAAGGAGCCTGGTTCACATAAAGCACAAATTTTCTGTATCTACCGTATTTTACTCGAAGAGGGCAAAAACGCATTATCACCGCTCACTGCCAAAGAGGCTGAGGATGATTATGAAAATCACGTGGATTGTATAACAAAATGGCTGCTACCAGTTTACATGGTCAAATTAGAAAATATACGCGAAACTTCTTCAAAACGGTGATGGCCCATACCTCCAGGGGGCCCATCCCTCCCGGGTCTCCCCTATCCCCGGTCAAAGAACGATGGGTCTATGAAAAAGACGTACAGTGATCGTCTAACCCTCGCCGGCCAAGGGCCGGCCAAGCCAAATTTGGCACAGCCTATGGGGTAATCCTTTTACATAGGACCTGAAAATTTCAGGTCCGGAGGACCTTGGGTCAGGTCAGAAAAACCGGTACAAAGTCATGGTCAAATGTCAATTTTGTTTATGCATCTGTCCAACTTACAGTTTTGGACTGATTTGCCTCAAACTTTCAGGATGTGCTAAGTTCAACGAGTTGTATAACATATAGTACGGTTTTTAGCCCTCGCCCTGGCAGGGGGGGGGGGTCGATGCGACCCCCCCCCCCTAAGGTTTTTCGAAGATAGCGTAAAAACGGCGGCGCGCAGCGCCGCCAAATTCGGCACAGCCTATAGGGTAACCTTTTTACATATGACCTGAAAATTTCAGGTCCCATTGACCTTGGGTCAGGTCACCAGGTCAGAAAAACCGGTACAAGGTCATGGTCAAATTTCAATTTTCTTTTTGCACCTGTCCAACTCACAGTTTTGGACTGATTTCCTTCAAACTTTCAGGATGTGCTAAGTTCACCGAGTTGTATAACATATAGTTCGGGTTTTTTGAGGCCACTGACCTGAGGTCAGTTAGAGGTCATTACGTCGTAATGTTAAGCCTATGGGAAAATACTAAATTCGGAAAATACTGGAGATATCCACTTCGTTCTATCACTTTTGTGCTTTGGAACCACAATACTTAACAACAGGTCACTTGGTGCTTCTTTGTTTGGTGTACTTACAGATGGGTCAGGTCAAATGAGGTCAACTGAGGTCAAATTACGTTTTTGCCAATAACTTGGCACATAATGACGCTAGAGCTTAAAAAATGGTGTCATTGTGTTCCTAGTGATCAGCCGAATCGAATGATATGCGATATAATGCAATTTGGTTAACTTGAACTTAATTGATTAATTAAAGTTTACTTAAAAATTAAGAAAAACTTTAAGTACACTTAAGTAAGCTTAAAAGTATACCATTCGACGCGCCTTGACGTGCTGAGTTCACTGGTGCTTTTCTTTTTGCTCTACCTTAATTAGATCAAAAGTTATAAGCGAAACACTTTTGACCTGTTTTTAGCGAAATTTTTACATTTATACCCCCCAAAAAACCCCTAAATATTGACCTAGAGCAACCAAATTTGCACAGGAGCGAGAAATCCAGGGGGCCCACCTACCTACCAAATTTGGTGTTTCTACACTGTAAAAAAAGTTTAGCACCATAGAGGTACTTTTCAATTGACTAATTTTCAGTACACTAGCGGTGCTAAGCTAAGCATTTTATTCGTACTTAACTGAGATCTAGTTTAGTATCAAGGTGCTAATATAAGTACCCATATTTGTTTAGCACCCGTGTACTAAATGTAGTACCCTACACCTGCTAGACCAATTTTCAGTACCCTAGCGGTGCTAAACTTTAAAAGGTGCTAAGAATAGCATGCAGTTAGTACCTTCCGTACTCACATATGAACCGTTTTAGCGCTATTGTTACCCCACGACAAGTAGAATAATGCTAACGAAAGCATTGGGGCTGAAAGTAGAATATCTATACTAGTTAAAGCTGCTGCATGAAAAGTTCGCAAAAACTGCCTTCTTTAGCAGCATATACTTTCACTAGTTACTGCAAAAAGGACTAATCAATTACCAAAAAGGAAATTGTGTAAGGCCGAAAAGACGTGCAAAAAAGGTTATATCCTAGATAAGTGATAACTACAAGTCTCAATGATTGTGTTTTGCATTCTGCAATATTCCCGTGTAGGTGCATCTTTCAAGCATCCAACACATTATAAAATTAAAAAATAATAATGGAACATTTATTAACACTTCATATCATCTGCATGAAAAACAAATGTAAATATATACATGCAAACAAACGCACGGGAAATAACGAAAGGTCGCTCATATACCTGCACACTCGCAGTGACCGACGATTAACGCGAGATCGACTGGGGGAGGCGGGGGGGGGGTCGTTGAACCGACGTTCCGTTCATTGGCCATAAGTTCGACCTCATCCACGACCAGACGGCGTTTAGTGATAGACGGAACCGGAGACCCCGTGTTGTTGTCGTAGTTGTCCTCCATTGTAAGTGGTAGTCGACGGAAGAACTGACCAGGCCCCATGCCTGGAGCAAAAAAAAAACTGGATCAGTTCCAATATTTTTTTTTCTGTTGGGAGCTATTTTCGCAAACAACACAACTTTCCTTCAGACCAAGAAGCGCGATTTGCCAAAGTCGGAATATGAAGCACTTAAACAATATAAGATAATGTCAAAAGATACAACGTGTCAGACTCACCAAAGTCGATCAACGTCGGTGTCGGTGGCATGTGTCGGTGGCAAATGCTCATGTACCACCCGGCCCCGGAGCACTTCACTTCACTTCACTGCACTGCACTTCCCTCCACCTCACTGCCTCCCGGAGCAGGGGCACGCACTCCCATGCCACGCACGACGGATTCCACCGATAATAGCTGATTTAAGCTATCATTCCAGAGCTATCACTCGGTGGCATGTGCCCGGAGCACTTCACTTCACTTCATTTCACTTCATATACCGGAGCACGTGCACACACTCCCACCACGACCAACGGACTCCACTAAAATGGCGCAACACGTGACCGGAAACAGCTGGCACGCGCATGCGCATATCGCTCTGCGCCGTCAAAACGTGCTAAAGGGCTGGTGATAAGACCCCCAGAGATTTGTAAAGCAGGGCTTAGCTACTTTCTTTGGCGCCAATTTCAAATTTGTTTCCTCTATAAGCATGTCCGGTTCTATTGTGATACTAACGTAAGCACCATATTCAGCATTACCAACTTCTAAAACACTTAAAATGGTTCTAATTAGAAATCCAGCTTGAAAGAGCACTCACTGATGGACTGGGTACTAGCAGAAGTAGACGTTAAGCTCAGTAGAAGAATAGGTGATCTAAACTTATAATATTTGATGGGAATGTTGGCTATCATTAGCACAGTATTAGCACCATGCTTCTTTGTAAATACGTCGTAGGGTTCTTTTGACGCTAAAAGGTGCTACGAATAGCAGCCGTTAGTACCCCAAATGCTAAACTTTTTTTACAGTGTAGGTGCCATAGGAGCCAATCGCGAGGGGGGGTGGCAGGGACTATCACATATTTTCCGTTTTTTTTTTATTTCATTTTTTTAGGATTTTTCGGCTATCAACAAATCTATTTGTTTATTTTTGGGGGTCAAAATCCAAAAATTTAAAAATCCAAGGTGGCATTTTTGTAGCCCTATTAATTTTACAACTCTTATGTTGATTTTTTTTTCTGTATCTCTAAAGATGTAGGCCTGACAGCTCTTCCCGTGAAACCTTTTATGGATCGAAAATGGCAGAAATGACGTCACTCTGACGTCATTAGCGGCTAACATATCATAGCCTTTTGAAAAAGTTTTTGTCACAATGTGCAAAAGCTATTAACGGAAGGGTACTGAAAGTTTGGTAACGATCGGCGCAGTGGTTCTGTAGATATATCGAAAAAAAATTAAAGGAGGGCAAAAAATGCCCCTCCCACCGCCTGGAAGGTTAATATTGACCTAGAGTAGCCAAATTTGCACAGGGGCGAGAACTCCGGGGGGCACCATACCTACCAAATTTGGTGTTTCTAGGTGTCATAGGAGCCAATCGCGAGGGGGGTCGCATGGACCCTCACCCCCGCCAGGCCGTGTTATGAAAAATGCCCTGCCAGGGCGAGGGTTAATATTGGACCTATATGTGATGCAGTGACAATCAGTCAATCAATCAGGTATTCAGTGCAAGATATACCTCCTTGCTTGGCAGAAACTAAAACAATGTCGGAATGTTACAATGATGGAAGACCAGAAATGTAATTGCGGTAACGTTAAGAGCGTTTTTTTAAGCTTGCTATAGGCACTGCAGCTGATTTATAGTGAGAGTCATGGAGAAAAATAAATGACACACCATATGACCACGACGATGAAGGCGGCATATCACATGTAGTTACGCTCTATTTGATATTTCCATATCTACATGTATATGAACGGCTTTCTTCTCATTTTATTTCAGATAATCACAGCAATTTTTCATTTTATGCATATCTCGACAATTTCGAAAATAGAGTTTATACGCTTTGTCAAGACGTCTAGCTTTCTGCTGGTGTTGCGTGAGCGTGAGCGTGGAAGCATCCCCTCCCACTAGCGCACGTGCCGGGCTCACTCACCCGCTCACTCGTATGTCGCCCAAAAAGGCATCTTACGGGCTCATTTGTTGTCTGTAAACTATGCTCCTATTCATGCTCTTACATACTCCTATCATAAACAATGAATAAGTGGCACCGAAATGTATGTATTTTTGTACTCACAAATATTCACACATGACGGACAGCAATCAGATATCACAAATGATATAAATAAAGTAACGTTTTAAAGCATTTAGTTGTAGGCCGGCTTGTAGGCGGGCTGGTAGACGGGCTTGTAGGCGGGCTTGTAGGCGGGCTTGTAGGCAGGCTTGTAGGCGGGCTGGTAGGACGGAGCGGCGTACGAAGCGGGCTTGTAGCTGGGCTTGTAGCTGGGCTTGTACTCGTCGTAGCGGGCCTCGCCCTCGTAGGTCACCTCGGCGTTGTAGCCTCCGTAGCCCTGCTGGTCAGCTCCACGTACTTGACCGTCTGCACACGGCCGTCGGGCAGGTTGACCGAGTAGTAGCCGTTGACGTTCTTGGCGTCGCTGTTCTCGTTCTGCGAGAAGACGGCGCCCGAGTAGTGGTCGTTGACGGCGTAGTCGAACTGGTACGGCTGAGCGGGCTCCTTGTAGGACGGCTGGTGGTAGGCGGGGGCCGGTGCGTAGGCTGGGGCCGGGTGGTAGGCCGGCCGGGGGCTGTAGGGGGTGGAGGGGGCGGCGGCAGCCACGGCCACCAGGGCAGCAACGACGAAGAACTGCAAGACAGACAGAGATGGCGGTTAGAAATGGACAGATTACGGTATGTTTACTTGGAGCTAAGCTTGACATTTTCTTATATGAAACGGGCGCGGTGTGTATGCATTCGAAAGTGGATGATAAGATGAACATTGAATTACAGTGCTTCATTACAGTATTTTCATTCAAAGACTCAAACCATCCAGCAGAAACGGTGGAGGGTATACCCTGTCGAGGAAACTGACCTTCATGTTTGCAGATTGGGTCTTTGGCAACTGATACTGTGAACGGCGGACCGGCCTCGGCGTTGTATCTGCCTTTATACCAGCCAGCGACCGTAATATATAACCTTGGGTTGGAGGGAGGGCGGGGCTGAACAGGTAGATGTGGAACACCGCATAGCCGACATTGCGGGAAAGGGAAGTGACCCATCGTAGGAAGTGGGTAGTAATTTAGCTCTTGTACTTACAAGGGGTGTTGAAGGGATCATTTCGATTTTTTGTTGTCAAAATCTCGAGGAAAAAGCTGCCGATCGCGACAAAGCTTTCAGTACCCTCAAGTTAATCAATTACGCATCGTTAATCTAACAATTTCATCACGCTGAACCTAATGATTCCTCAGTGATGAAATGCTTACATAAATGAAAAAAAACATTTTGGTGTTATTTTTTATGCTTATGTCTTGCTACCGGCGGCATATCTACGCGTTTCCAAGGGGCAGTCGAACGGGCACTTTGATGGCTTCCATTCAAAAGGTTCCTTGAATTGAAACATCTTATGGAGTCCCACAAAACCTCAGTTTAAAGATACAGTAAAATGCGTTTAATTATGCCAGTTGCTATATTATTTTCAGCGGCTTAAAACACTTCAAGAAGGTAATGAATAATTGAATACATATTGGATAATGCAATGAATCCTGTATGCTATGTATTCAACAATAGTTCATTCCAATTCATGCAGGGTATCTGCACGCCAAATCAGTTACAAATTTACAAAAGGCAACATATACTGTGAACAGGCGGAGCATGCGATGCGCGTTGTCCTCGTCGTCGCAGTGAGCGGATAGACAAATGTTCACTGAGCAACAAGACACAGTTCACTCAAATTGCCAAAGGGAGACGCAGCTAACGTGCTCCGTGGCAGGAAAGCTGGAGTTTGGGAAGTGGCTTGGCGCCTTCTTTAGGCTATTTCGTAAATATCCCCCCCTCACCAAAAAAAAAAAACGGGGTACCAGCACTGCCGCTTCGACAGCCAGCCTTATGATTTCAGCTCTATAAGTTCACATGCTGCACACGTAAGTCTACGTAAGTCTCGGAGGCAAATATCTCTGGGTTATTGGCTTTTGAGCGCCATCGGGTGTGCTCAGAAGGCCCCCTATTGACCTTAGATAACCATTAACCATTTGTCTTTCTTAGAGTGCTCTTCTTTGGCCTCTGAGGGATTTTTATTGGCATCACAGGGTTCTTTGAAAGGTCACTTGGGTCAGGGTCATGAAATGCCAGGGTAAGTTGTAAAATTGATCAACGCGAGGGTACTGGAAGTTTCGTCGCAATCGGCCGCTTTTTACGCGAGTTATTTGAGAAAAAAACCTTAGGGGGTTGCATCATCCCCCCACCCACCCACCCCCCTGTGCCGGCGAGGGTTAAAGCTCTCCGATAGCCTTAGGATTCAGAGTCGTCACGTCAATTGCAGAGAAGTCGGAAACCGATACCAAGCCAAATACTGACCGAAGCCATGGGGAATACCAAAAGAAAACCAACATGAAACTTTGGAGTACTACCGACTTCTTTTCCAAATTTAGAGCATCTTATACAATTATCACTGTATAGGCTATCGAGGCGGAATGAAAACCAATAAAATATAAAAGGTCCTGTTTGAAATGCCTACCAAATAGGTACTGAGTTGCTATTGGTTTGATATCAGTATTTTTTTAAAGTACCTATACATCGTTTATCTCTCAGTGTTCATATTTACTGTTTGTTCAGTTATTCTGGTTTACCTTGTATCATGATTTCTTTCCCACCTTACATGGGATTTTAAAACTCATGCTCAGTGGTCGTTCACGCATTTTTTTCTTCATATTTTCACTTCATTGCCTATTTCATTGTATTGTTCATTGTTTTCTATTTTAGTTATACCTATGTGTATCTGCGTTTTTATCCGGGCGTGTGCATGCTGCCTGTGTGTGCCATATTTATTGTTTTTAATCTTGTGACTCCGTCTTTTATTGGGTCAAGTGCCTGTTGACGGTCTGTTGAATAAATACAAATACAAAAATGCCAAAACGTTGGTAGCCAATTAACGTACCACTTGCTCAGAGGGCCCTCTATTGACCTCAGAACCATTTGAGGTTCTTAGATTTCTGAATTGAAGGCCCTCCGTATATCTAAGGTGGCCCTCTAATTAGCTCAGAAGACACTCTTATATTGGCCTCAGTGGCCAGGACCTCGTCCGTTGACCTCAGGGCTCTGAGGTCCCTCTGTTGACATCAAAAGGCCCTCCGTTGGTGACCTTAATGGGCCCACTGTTGAGCAAAGGACCTCTCTTGGCCTCATAAATTTATTTTATCGTCTCGGGCCATCCGGTGGCCTTCAGGGTCCTTGAGGACTCTCTGTTTTTGTCTTAAGAAGATTAACTGTTGACCTCAAAGAACCTTATGTTGCCTGGGGACCTCTGAGTGCTCTCTGTTGGCATCAAAGAGTCATCTAAGAAAACAGAGGTTCCTCCGGGGAATAACAAGGGTGCTGTGAGGTCGAGAGGGTCTCGAACCTCTAGGGCTAACAAAGGACCCTGAGGTCAACAGAGAGCATGAGGCCAGCAGAATTCTGCTCAGGACCTTAAGGCCCCAGGACCTTAAGGTCCTGAGGCCAGTAGAAAGCTCTGAGGCGCAGCAGAAGGACCTGAAGCCAACAAAGGGCTTTGAGGCCAACAGAAGCAGATCCCTCAAAACCATGCGGCGAAAAGAGGGCACTGAGACCAACAGACGACTTTCTGAGGCCATGCGAGGGCTCTCTTAGGTCAACAGAGAACCACCGAAGACCGGAGTCTTAAAGTGTCCTGAAGCCAACAGAGTAACCTCTGAGGTCTGAGTCCAATCGAGGATCCCATGAAGGCTCCGTTGTCCTCAAAGTCATCAGGGCCCTCTTTTGGCCTGAGAGATCCTTTGTTGGTCTAAACGGGTCCTATGTTGGTCTTCCAGAATCCTTGGGATCTCGAGTTGATATTTTAAAAGAAAAAATTGGGATAGTATACCCCGAGAGGTCTCTAGGATACTCTGAGCACCCCTTGGATACGCCACTGCTTGCGCTTTTGCCATATAGAATAGAGGCTAAAATATCTTATTTGACGTTAACCTCTCTTCCCCTACGTTCCTTTTCGATTATAACCAACCCATCGATTCATCCTCCTTGTCGACCCATCCTCTACCTAATAATTCCCGTGGAACTGGGAGTGGGAAATGTCTTAATTTATTTATCCTTTTCTGTTTCAAATCGCCTCCTCGTCCAGCGCTACTTGCGCTGTAGAGCCGCCAATACTCGTGTCTACCTTTTGTTTTTGTTTTATCTGTTCATTGCTTCCTTAATTTTTTTTTTTTTGTGTGCACATCTCAACGTCAGTCCTGCGTTACACGCCGTCCAACACCGTGTTCAATAACCTGTAAATGAGTTTTGAAACATGTATATTCCTCCAATTGGTCACATGGGAAACGACATGCCTCGCAAGTCAAACACACCAAAACACTTTACATAAATATGAAATATTGTGTATGAAAGCACTTAGTTGTAAGCGGGCTTGTAGGCGGGCTGGTAGGCGGGCTTGTAGGCCGGGGCGGGCTTGTAGGGAGCGGGCTTGTAGCTGGGCTTGTACTCTTCGTAGCGGGGCTCGCCCTCGTAGGTCACCTCGGCGTTGTAGCCTCCGTAGCCCTGCTGGTCAGCCACGTACTTGACCGTCTGCACACGGCCGTCGGGCAGGTTGACCGAGTAGTAGCCGTTGACGTTGCTAGCGTCGCTGTTCTCGTTCTGCGAGAAGACGGCGCCCGAGTAGTGGTCGTTGACGGCGTAGTCGAACTGGTACGGCTGAGCGGGCTCCTTGTAGGACGGCTGGTGGTAGGCGGGGGCCGGGTGGTAGGCCGGCCGGGGGCTGTAGGGGGTGGAGGGGGCGGCGGCAGCCACGGCCACCAGGGCAGCAACGACGAAGAACTGTAAAATAGAAACAGAAGACATTGTTATCCGATGGCTATACTTTTTACGGAGCGAGCGAAGCGAGCGGAGTCTCATACTGAATTAAGGGAAAATCCTGAGTATGAGCGGCCGGCCGGCCGGCCGGCCGTGGGGACGCTTTTCAAAAGCTAATATCTTAGGAACGGGACATCCGATTGACAAGCGGTCTTCTTTACTGAATGTCACTTGGACGTAAAAGTTCTGTGGTGTGATGGCCACCATGCGTTCTTGCCAACCACCGCACGTGGCGCGTGGTAAAGTTGGACGTTTTTTAAGAACCCCCAAAATTGCAACCTCAGTAACGGCACAACGGTTGGGCCGATTGAATTGAAACTCGGTACACAGTTAGGTCTCCATCAGATAATTCATCTGCATGTGTTAAGGTTGGGGTGGTGCTACAGCACGTGCGCACGTGCAGGGGGCGCTCCCAGATCTCGAGAACGGCTGGGCCGATTGCGCTCAAATTTGGTACACGGTTGGGGACCAGTTAGTAGGGTGCAGTGCAAAAGTCAGTTTGGACCCCGCTTGCACGTGCGCACGTGCAGTGTGCCGCTTCCAGATCTCGAGAACGGCTAGGCCGATTGCGCTGAAATTTGGCACATCGCTAAAGACCTGTTAGTAGGGTGCAGTGCACAAGTTAGTTGGGGTACCCCCTCGCAATTTCGCACGTGCAAGGCCCATCCTCTCGCTCGCTCCGTTGGTCGCCCAAAAGGCGTTTTACTGGTTCATAGTTCTCACTTTCTACGCTGATAACCATGAACTTTTAACAATAAATTATCATTGTGCAGCGTCAATTGCAACATTACATTAAAGACAAAACAGCAGATCTAACCAGTGCCAAAATAAGGTATTCAACCAGACTCAAGAGAATCGGAATTTACTTCTCGGAGCTAGTGTGGCACCTTTCCACAGGCTGAACGAAGCACTCGGCTGTGACCGCGCTGCAATGTACCGATCTGGCAGCCGCACTCCCCAGGTCGCGGCCATGCAGTGCCGCGGTGTGAACTCACCTTCATGTTTGCAGGAGAAGGCTGGCGATCAACTGAT